GGCAAATAGGTGCTTAGCTCTAATAAGGGATTAAAAGATGTTTCATGAAGCTGCGCGTTGGCTCCTTGAAGCAGGGGGCCGTTCCTGGGGTCGCCCTGCTGTCCGCCCGACCGGTGTGAGGGGTTAGGCTGGTGAGGCTGAGCTGTTGAGGAATGGAAGGGACGGGGAGCAGCAGCGGCACTTCCTCCTCGGTCGTCGCAGACTGGAGTTTGGTGTTTTGGACTCTCTGCTCTGTGATCCTGCCGGTGCTGATCACCTTGTGGTGCAGCTTCCAGCGGTCCCGGCGGCAGCTGTTAATACAAGACATCTTTCGCAAGAGCAAGCATGACTGGCACTACACAGACCTCTTCGGCCAGCCCTCCTACTGCTGCGTGTGCGCTCAGCACATCCTTCAGGGTGCTTTCTGCAACTGCTGCGGGCTGCGTGTCAGCGAAGGATGCCTCAAGAAGGCTGACCAGCTTTTTCTCTGCAAGGAAATTATGATGAGGGGCAATGGTGGAGCCCACAGCTCTATGCCACACCACTGGATCAGAGGCAATGTCCCACTCTGCAGCTGCTGTGTGATCTGCAGACAACAGTGCGGCACACAGCCCAAGCTCTGCGACTACAGGTACTGCAAGGGAATTTGAGAAAGTACGATGCTATATCAGTATTGTATTTTTTCACAGGGTTGTTGGAGCACATTACCCCGAAGGAGATCCTGCAGTAGTCAAATATGAAACTCTGTTAAAAAAACAACTTCAAAGAACCTGAAATTAAAATGGATGGTTGTGGGTAATTTGAGTCATAGATTAAGAGTATGGTATTGCATCTCATGGCCGCTTGTTCTCTTAATTGCATTACTCCAGCATGATGTGCTAGCTACTGTATAATTACATATAAAAGGTTCTCTATGTCCAAGAGAATTTATATTTTAGGGGATGACCTTAAGAAGGTTCTAACACACTTGTCATTTGTACAGTGGATAGCCTGAGCAATTTGAGTGGCAGAGCTCACAATTCAGAGCACCAAAATGTATATGCATCTCTGCAAAATTGGCATCTGCTTAGTGTAACTAGAACAACCAATCATCCTATAGCTGTTTTAAGTCCATTTTTAAGGATACTCGAAAAAAGCTAATGGGAAGTTTTAAAAGCTACCATAATATAATCTATTGTTAAAGTTTGTGGCGAGTGTGTTAAAAAATTTCAAGGAACCATTGAATGGGCTTGCACTGTCATCAGTAGGGCTGCTTGCAAAGTTGCCAGCATGACACATAGTGGCATGTTATGCCAAAATATAGTGCTAGTCGTTCAGGTCCAGGGTGCGGTGTCAGTGTTACTTCAGCCTTCTCAAAGGATGTCATCTTCCCAGCACATATTCTGCCAGCTTTTGCTTTGCTTCTGTGTGATACTGTCAAATTGCTTGGTAAGTAAGAATTACAGTGTAAATGAGCATACTTTCAGAAATAAAATCTTAAGAGAGAGTGTGCATAGGAGAGGAGGGAAGGAGAGGATTTTGGAGCCAAAGGGGGAAGGAAGAAGAGGAAAAGAAGAAAGTCACAGTACAGGGCAAGTATCATTGCTACTCTAGTTGTGCGCTGGATTATTCAGGAGGACTCCAAAAATAGCTTTCACAGCTGCTTAAACCAAGGCTTTGGATGTAGCAAACGAGGATTAACATTCTGCAGAGGCTGGCAGTGGATGTTGCAGTATTTCCTCTTGTTCTGGTCCGTTTTCCAGGACAGCTTTTAGAATAGGTCAAAAAGCTGAACAGTTTTGCATAACAAAATCCCATCAGCCTTGTACAGTACTGTGTAACCTTTTAGGTTTCAGACTTAAAGGGGTGTTATAAATCTTAAGAAATTTATTAATGTTATTAGTAACACTTTATTAGATTGAACTCTAGTGTTTTATCTGTGCTCTTTAAGGATGGATAGGAGTTAAGTTTCTCATACAAGCTTTCAGTGTAACTGTTTATATTGCAGACAAGGCAAGACAATATTTATAGCACCTGTTTTTGGAATTAAAAAGAATAGAATTAATTTAAAACTGTTGGGTTTTTTTTCCACAGAATTCAAATACTTTTCTAGACTTGCAAGCACATGACCCAGTTATGTAATTTTCTGTAGCCAATACATGCATGTAAATTTCCAGGGAATGCATGGTTTTCTCTGCAACATGCTTAAACTATTACTTACAATGGTGCATGTAAACATAAGTACTTTTCAGAAAGTTAGTCTATCTAATATAAATGAGCAAAAGCGATGTGCCTGTTATTTGAGGATTTTTTTCATGTTTTTTGGTCTTTTTTCCAGATGTGTGTGGTGTCAGTACACTGTACATGATGAATGCATGATGGATTGTTTAAAGACTGAGGAGTGTACATTAGGAGAATTCAGAGACTTAATTATTCCACCATACTATTTGTCTACAATCAACCAGATGCGTAAAGACAAAAGAACCAATTATGAAAAGGTAATTGTCTACAACTTCTTGGTTTTATAACATATTTAAAAGAAAAACAAACAAACAAACAAAAAAACCACACCACACATTAAAACTTGAACTCAGTACATTGTCAAGTTAATAACTATCAGGTAAATGTTTCAATATATATGAAGTACTTGTAGTGTTAATTCAGAGGTGTTTGTCTTTTTATTAATTTTGTAGTTGAAGCAGACAGCATGAGCAGACATTTGGATCTTGTTATTCTAAAACGACACTGAGATTTGGGTACCTTACTTCCTTGAATGTTTTGTGATTTTTCTACTACTGTGTTCATAACATTGTAGTATTTGTTGTCCTAGGCACAGTAGAACAGAAATCTTCAATCTTGGTGTGTCAGAAGTATTTCTTTCTATTTGGAGTACTTCAGACTAATTGGTAACTTCCTCATTTCAGCACTGACAGGGGACAGGTTTTGGAGCAAGGCTTTAAACATTTTCAGACGTGCAGTATTTGTGTGACTGACTTACTGTTACCTTTTTGCAGGTAGTACCTTACTGCAGAAAACACTGGATGCCAGTAATCATACTGGCTAATACTCGTAGTGGAAACAACATGGGTGAAACCTTACTAGGAGAATTTAAAATTCTGCTAAGGTATTTACAGTGAAAAGCCACTATAATGAAATAAAAGTTTAAACTAAAATAAACATCACTTTGCTTACACAATGTCAGTAGCATCTTGTGGAAGATCAGTAAAGAAAACAAATTCATGCAGTTTTTTCTTTTAGAAAGAATAGCTTTATAGAGCGAGACCAAAAGTGCAGAGGCTCCTCCCATCCCCAAGTTTGTTACGGTTCTAATACTGGTCCAGTGTTCTATTTATAGTAATTCATGCAGTAATTCTGTTAATAGTAAGTATCTGGCTCTTGAAACAGTGTACAATTTTTAGAAAATGAAATATTTAGATCTTAATTTGAAACCTGTATTTGTTTAAATTCTCACTTCACTTGTGAAAACGTCCGTGTTCACAGTTGCTGCTTTGTGTTGTCGCTTTCCCCTTAAAATCCACTGGGATGGCACAGGATGTTGACGTAAGGCAGTTGTTCCTTGGATTTCCTGGCTGCACCTTAATACTCTTCCTTTAAAGTTCAAAACCTAGCCTTAGTGATTTCTATTAGGCTGTATTCTATGTGTTTATTTTAAATGCTTCCCAGTAAGGCTTTAAAGAGTAAACTTCTTCGTATGCTGAGTATTTAAAAGTAACTTTTATCCGAAGTCTTTCATCTTCACAGAATTCATCATAATGCGTCTAGATACAGACTTTTCTTAGGACTCTGTCAGCTTGGTTTATCAATGGCATTTATTCCTTGTGAAGCAGCTGGAGCTCTGTTGTGAATTTGGGAAACCAAATCCTGCTCATAAAAGTCAAGACAGCTCATTTGCTAATGTCGTATTGTAAATACCGTTTTGCATTAGAAAGAAGTTGTTTGTCTGTGAGGCAAATCCTGAGTTCGTTCTGTGAACTTACAGAACTCCTTATTTGCCTTTCTTCTAGGTTTTTGATCTAAGCAAAATTGCACCTGCTAAAGCACTCCAACTTTGTACCTTGCTGCCTTGCAACGCTGTCAGGGTTCTTGTCTGTGGTGGGGATGGCACAGTAGGCTGGGTCCTGGATGCAATTGATGAAATGAAGATAAAGGTATTGTTTTTTAAATTAAAAGATGTCTCATGGTGAAATGAGTTTGGGAGCTGCTAAAGTGCTACACCTAATCTCTTACCTGCATTTATTGTTTTCATCTTCCTGAATAAGCCTACAGAGAAATATTTGTGGAATTGCTTATTCATATTGGGGAGCTGGGGGTAAATGCATCTTGTTATGAGTCCCTGTAGTTCAGGAAAAATATGAAAGCTTTAGATTTTAAATGATATTTAAAGTCATTCTTTTCTGTAGAACAAGAAAAGAACAAGCTGCAGAATATTTTATGCATTGTTCGTTCTTCTTTGTCTAAACAGATTGATTTTGTTGTAAATGGCATCACTAATAATGGCTAATGTGCTCTGACTGCTTATTTCTCCCAGCATGCTCAATCTTTTATAATAACCTCATAATTTTTCTGGCTGTACTGGTTATATTGCCAGGGCATGAATGAGTGCAGTAATTTGCTTCTGCTCCTTATCACATATTCTAACGAATCTATCAGTCTGCAGCCTCACCTATTAACAGCAAGTAGAGAAGGAAAAAATAAGCTGTGTGTTTACTGTTGATTTGAAATGGAAGATACTCCGATTTACAGGATACTACTAAGAACTCCTGAGAAAATTAAGGATGAAGAATAATTACTAGGGCTTTAGTGCTTTACCTAATAAACTTTTTCTCTTGTGATAAAAGGAAGAAAGTTACTCTTGTTACTCTTCTTATATCAGTATCTTCCCCCCCCCCAGTGGTTTTCTTGTTAATACATGAAATGTTGTAGTTGAAGGCCATTATTACAACTTCATGCATAGTCAAACTGAGCTTCTTTGAGAATTTTTATGTACTGATTAAGTAGAAATGCAACAAAGCATAACTATAAAGGTTAATGAATATGAGTATATGGTTACTTGGTCTTGGACACTTGATATATTGTCCCTCAGAGCCAATATAGTTGATGAAATCTGGGTTCTTTTTTGTTTCCAAGTATTCAAATTGAGTCATTGGAGTTATATAAATACTGTTGAGATTATCAGCAAAACCTTCTTATTATCAGCAGTAGGTTATTTGCTTCCTTCATTTATCTTGACTCTCAAATATAGATTACCTGGCTGATATCTCTTCTTGAAAAAATAGTAACCATAATGCCAGTTACTGCAAGTACTTTTCACAGCTGAATTTCAAAGGCCGTAGTACATCTGAAATAACTGTTCAGCCTTCTGTGGTAAAGACAGCAAAGACCTTTGCTAAGGTGGCCATTTTGAATGTCTGCTTCTGTCAGTTACTCTGTGATCTGCAGAGGTGATTAACATCTGCTCCATCTGTTGATGACAGTTGGATCTGCGTATGTGGCACCTCTGAAACTTAGGTACTGCCCTTCCTTCTTTGAGTATGTGAATTTCTGTGCGAGGATGAATACTCTAGTATTAAGTGCACCTGTTGTTTTAGACCTAACCTTACTTCAGTCTTGTAAGAGCATTTTGGTGTCTTGTTACGGTTCAGAGCCTTGTGTGTTACATCTCTCTGAGTGTTCATATCACTTCCCAGAGGTATGTGCAGTAATATTGTTAGTTCACTTACCCATGGCTGCAGCAAGTCAGCAGCATATAATCAGGAAATCAGATGAGACATTCAGGCTTCCACGTCTCGATCCAAAGCATCATTCTTTTCAAGGAATACCATGTTCACTATTAATAATGCATTGTTTCCATATTGTGCTTGTATTTTCTCTTCTCACAATGGTTTAACATTTCCTTCCTTTGCATTATCCCTATGATAAGTACTTGAATGTGCTATCTGCTGTACTACTGCTGCCAGCTCTATTGCTCTGCACTATGTAACAAGCTGCTATGAAGATTAATGATATTTATCCAACCTGAACATTTGGGGATAAAAGGGAGAAAATAAGTGCTAAAGAAGGAGCTAATATGCAGTGTTTCTGTATCCTAGGGGCAAGAACGTTATATTCCACAAGTTGCAATTTTACCTCTGGGAACAGGTAATGACCTGTCTAATACACTGGGCTGGGGTGCAGGTTATGCTGGAGAAGTCCCTGTAGAACAAATTTTACAAAATGTCATGGAGGCAGACGGAATCAAACTAGACAGGTAAGTAACAGATAAAGAAGAGATAAATTCTATAGAACCAACTACTACTGTAGCCCTACAGTTGCAGCAGTATGTGTAAAGAAACACAAGTATTGCTGGAGGGAACTGCAAAATAACTGAGGTCCAAAATTAGTCTTTATTTAGTTGTTCTACAAGGCTTAACTCTTTCGTAATTTAAGTGAATTTAAATCTTTTGACTTGATCCCAGTATAGATACAGGATTCCTAACTTCCTATTAGTTTTGATACTAAGTGAGAACAGTCTGCCTGTCATGAGTATAAGTAATGGCTGTTGTTTTTCAGATGGAAGGTACAAGTAACAAACAAAGGATACTACAACTTAAGGAAACCAAAGGTATGGTTTGCAAGTATAAATATGGATTCTGTGGAATACTGTATGTTTATACTTACTTTTCTGGTTGCCTGCTTCCCATTAAACACTCTGACTTTTAAATCCTAATAATGATATTTAATAAGACCATAACTAGAAGTCCTGTCTTACAGGTATTCACAATGAACAACTACTTTTCTATAGGACCTGATGCTCTCATGGCTTTAAATTTTCACGCTCATCGTGAGAAGACCCCCTCTCTGTTTTCCAGCAGAATTATTAATAAGGTGTGTTTGGTAAAGTGACCTTTTCTCCTTGTAGTGTTGACTTGACTTAAGGCTATTTTTTGCTTTACATTGCTTTACTCCCCTACTTCCTTTCATGCCGTTTTAAGAGTTTGAACTCATTTTTCTTGGGGAGGGGATTCCATGGGTAAAACATGTTTCCAGCCTACTCGCAAGTGTTCTTGCTTGCTTGCTTACAGAATATGCTGTTTGTTCAATTTTTGTTTAGAATGTCTCATTTGGTTTGAAACTTAATGGCTTAAGGACTTTGCCTATTTCCTTTTAAAGTGGAAGCAAGTTTCTTATGCTAGTTGTAGCTTATCTCATGAAGAAAGCTTAGTTGAAGGATGTGCAAATATGTTACATATGAATTGTAGATAAGGATTGCAGAACAGTAACTATACATGAATATTTCAAATAGTCTTCATATGTATTGTTGTCTTCTAACAGTGTTTTCTATTCTCCCTGGGTTTTTTAATAGGCTGTTTATTTTTTTTATGGAACCAAAGACTGCTTAGTACAAGAATGTAAAGATCTTAACAAAAAAGTTGAGGTAAGTTTTTTAACTTGCTTATTCTCTGGACAAGTAAAAACTTACCTTGTGAAAGAAAAGGGGAGAAGTTTTGCAGTTTACATCTGTATGATATTTGTAGGATGGCTCTGGACTTGGAGTGTTTTGCTATCTGCAACTTACTTCATGGAATTCATGTCTTTGAGCTTACTGAAAATTCCCGAATTTTTTTCTGGCCTTGACTCAGTTCTATAAGTTCAAGTACTGATATTCAGATAAAATTTGCCTTTGCACCAGAGACTTATATGAGTGAGAGTACCTTTTTCTTTTCTCTATTAACAGAAATTTATTACATCTTAAGATATCTTGTGAAATCAGAAGTCATTTTTTTAAAGTATGAAAAGAAAACATGTTCTGTTTGTACGGGGCCAGTTTTTCTTCAAGTGGAAGCCTATTAAATGCATAAAGAGAATAACTAGCTTGTATTGAAGTACTGAATTTGATCCACAGTAGTTAACTTCTGTTTGTCTTTTAAAGCTAGAGTTGGATGGTGAGAGAATCGAGTTGCCCAATTTGGAAGGCATCATTGTCCTGAATATTGGATATTGGGGAGGTGGCTGTAGGCTCTGGGAAGGAATGGGTGATGAACCTTATCCCTTGGCGAGGTACCCAGTGCATCTTTTTCTTTTTTTTCCTTTTAACAGTTCTTGTAGTGTAAGCAATTCCTCCAGTAAACTGTGCTTATGTAGCCAGCCTTGTCTGAAAGTCAGAAGGATTCCTTGTGATAGTAGGCTATCTCAGATTTTTTATTTTCCTCATATTAGAGACTTGGACTAAGTCCACACATCAAGTTTTGTTTTTTAAGACCTTTTCAAAATGTCTGGCATGATTAAGCAATGGTGTTGAAGAGGCTATTGAAAATAAAGGTAGCCTTCAAAAAGTAGAAGATACGTCCATTTCAGAATATGAAAGAACATGTCTTAATAGAGGTTAAAATATAAAGTAAAAACAAAGCAAGCCCAAAATTTGATTCCCATGCTTGAGTAAGTTGGCTGGAGCAATACTAAAGAGGAGAATAGGTGGGTACTTTAGTTATTCCCTCTTGTGACTTCCTTCTTCAGAAGCCAAGTGTATAAATATACTTCATAGTTCTGTTGCAAAGCTTATGATCCTGGATTTCTAAAAAATATTTGGGCAAGGTCCTCTACCAAAATCTAAAAAATTAAGCTATTAAAAGATTTTCCTGTAGATTAATAACTGAGTGAAAAGACAGAAAATTGTACAAATTTATGGAAGATAAATCCATCGTGGGCCTTAAACATGCACAATGAGTCTTGGAAAGTCATATATACATAACTTCCAGAAGTTAGCTAGGGTGTACCAGTGGGTGTATTGTTCCATACTTGCATTTTTGTATGGCTTCCTTTGCTGTTCAGTGTGATTTGTTGTCCAGCACAAATAGGTAGTTTAAACATATTTGTAGAATAACATTTGTCTCCTCTATAGGAATAGCCATAAAAGGACTTTGTAGTATTTGGACAGGTATTCTAGAGCTCCTGAGCGTCACTAAAAGGAGTCTCCTTTCTTAATTTGTAGACATGATGATGGACTTCTGGAAGTTGTTGGTGTTCACGGTTCTTTCCACTGTGCACAGATTCAGGTGAAACTAGCAAATCCTGTTCGCCTAGGGCAGGCACATACAGTGAGGGTAAGTGTGTTTATGAACCTGTTTCCCCAAATTTTTTCTAATACACACTATAGAATCTCAAGCACTCAACTCTCTGATCTGAAGTTGCAGTTTGCAGTTAAGCCAGGTGTTTCTTTTGCTCAGTAAAAATTAATTCTATCATAATTCACAGCCCTCTGTTGCTGTGGTTGGTGGCCTATGAGTGCAACTAATTATATACTAAGTTTCTCCCTGGCCAGGCTGAAAAGATGCAGCATCAGTATACTGTAGTTGTAAAAGATATCTTTAAAGCTACTTTGAACTGCTATGATTGCGTGCTCTTAAATTTTTCTATTTAATACTAGCTGATCTTGAAGAGTTCAAAGATGCCGATGCAGGTGGATGGAGAGCCATGGGCTCAGGGGCCCTGCACCGTTACCATAACTCACAAGACACATGCACTGATGTTATATCACTCGGGTGAACAAACGGATGACGAAGCTTCCAGCATGTCTGAGCAAGACCACGTGAGAGAACAGACGGATGAAGATGTATAGATTTTGTGGAATTTCACATAATACAATGATGAACTTCAGCTCATTAAAAACACTGCGAATGCCTAATCTAGATTAAGGTTTATGCCGTAAGGTTTATACTTGTGAGTGAACTGGAGCTGAGGAAAAAGCCATGCTTTCACATTCATGGAAACTTTCACAGCTGAATTACCACAACTATTTTGCCTTTTAGATCAGTGGTGATGCCCAGCCTTTCTAGCTGGAGGAGTTAGTTACTCTAATGGCAGGAAACAGAGAAATACTGCTGTGGAATCAGATCTTCTGCACATACAAAGGGTAGTATGCAAAAGTTTTTATACCCTTGGAAAGGGGAACAGCTGGGAGTTTGGCCTGCTTCCACCTGCCCTTTTCCCCAGAACAGTTCCAGAACAGAAAACCAGACCAAGTAGGATGTGGGCTGATTTTCTGAAAAGAACCTGCTCCTGGCTGCCATCTCTTCTTGGGAGCAGGACAAATACTTCTCAGCGCACCTGCTTGTGCAGTGCATATCTAATGGGCAGAGTATCTGGGAGCTCTTGGGAAGGTGGTTAGCAAGAGAGATGCTTTTGGACCAAAGGCTTCTGGAAATGTTCTGTTAGCGAATGACGTTTTTCAGTGGCTTTGTAAGGCATAGATAGAGTACTCCTGAGGTCCCAAGCACCCAAGATACAACTTCAAAATAATTGTACCATGACTTGCACTGAATGATCCTGTGACTGACTCTGCTTCAGTTCAGTGAGAGAGTAATTCTAGTGTTTGTAAATAACAACATGCTAGTTCTTGAGGAGGCTTTTTGGAGGAAAACTTGGACAAAGCTGTCTATTTTAGCTGTTTACAGGAGAGTTTTAAAGAAATAATGATGCTTGGCAAATGTGGTTTTCTTAAAGGCTTGTTAAAGATCTGGCTTCATAATTACCTGAAAATGATAGCAAGTCAGTCTGTTAACTGTTTAAGTGTGGAGGTTGAGAGCTAAGTTTGCAGACGTTAGCAAGTTCTGGCGTTCATGTGTATAATTTGATTGTGGGGAAAAAAGCATGGAAGCACTTGTTTTCTGACTGGCTCTTAGGGTGTCAAAGATATCTTGTTGGACCTGAAACTTCATTTCCCATATGAATATAGGGCACAAAAAAGATTGGTGGCCTATTCTGATAGTAAAGGTTAAGAACACATACAACAGTACATGGAAACTGACAGTTTGGCATATCTGAAGCTTCTCAGGGTAAAAGCTTCTCAGGTGAAAACATCTTCATGGTTAACAGAAGTAAAAATCTGCTTCCTTTTTTCTTTTCTGTTTTAGGTATTTTAAGCCTGGGGCAGGTGAGAGCTATGAGTTGAGGTTTAAAATTTGTCACTAAGTAATTCAGTTAAGGCCAGTTGAGTTACTGAAGGTGATCTTCCAATTAGGAAGAGAATTTATGCTGAATGTATCATGCATAAGCCAAGATCATAAGAGAAGTTGAAAGCCTTCATCTGAACTTGGAATGTTGCTGCTTTTGTCAGAACTCCCACAATCTTTTTTTTTTTTTTCCTTTTTTCTTTATGCTAACTGAAAGTGATACCATTGGGTAAAGTAGGCTATGTTTCTAGGTTTTGTAAAATGAAACTGTTTTTCAACAATCTATAAAATGACATTTGCATTAACGGTGAATGAACTATTTATATTTTAAAATAACTTATTGAAACCTTGGCGAAGTCAGTATTTTTAAAACCTTCAATTGTAATGCTCTTCGGAGAGCATTTTTAACTTGATGGTATTCATTGTAGAAAGTGTATGTACTAGATCTTAAATACTACTGATTATCAGTGAATTTATAGCTGCCTGGAAATGTGATTAGAGTGTAATGAACTGTAAAGCAGAAGCCATTTGTAAATTCCATATTCATTAGCCTTATGCACCTCATCTTAATTGTTTTATTGTATGTAAATATAGAGAACAAATTAATAGTTAAATCTATGTAAAAAGTGTTTAAAATACCGAGAAGTATACTAGTTAGATAAACCCACTATCTTTTTTTTTTTTTAGTTATGAAGTTCAATTTGTATTAGCTTCAAAAACCTTACTAGTTAAGTTATTAATTTTTTTTAATAACTTGTAGCCATCAGCATCCTAAAAATAGTTAAGCTCTATGCTATGGTTCTTATGTAACTATTGTTTACAAACAAATGACAAGTGTGGAAAAGCAGGGTATGTGTTGTGAAAGGTGGTATTTTCTCAAGAGAAATTACACCACTGGCTACTTGATCTGAACTATTCATAATACAGTTTAAAGAGTTACCTGAGGTTGATCAGATGTTTATTCAAATTGGTTTATAGCCTAAGAACCTAAGAACTGTTCAAAAACTTCACTCTTTGAACTCCTGACATCAAGGAAAAAAAAAACAATCGATGCCAAGACTTTGAAAGTCTCCCTTTTTTACAGTAGGTGAGCTGGCTTCTCCACTTGTGCTTTGCCTGAGTGGGTACCAGCGATGTACTATGTTTGTGCAGGCAAGATCCTCCCACTTACTGCGGCTTGCTAGGAGTCCCATCCTAAATGTGTGAAATCCTCTTTGGGAAATGTAAATCCATCATTCCTTTTGGAGAAACAAGGGAGAATTAGAAGTGAAAGTAGCATCTAATTGGGTGCATGTTTGGGACAACCACTGGTAAATGGTCCTGCTTGTTTTGGACAGATCATCCCCTTCTTGCATGTGGAAGTGAAGAAGTTTGTGTTTCACAAATTGACTGTTAGTGATGGCAGCAAATGATAGGTAGCAAACGTAGCCGTTGTAAGCATGGGAAAGCCTGTTGTAAAATTGTATTTATGGTATGGAGATAATTCTGTAAGGTTGAAGTGTCCAGGTCCCAGTCAGACATGGGGTCATCCTTCTATTGTAACTGTATGTAGCTGTTCAATGTTGTCATGTGTGTTATGACTGTATAAGTGTTACATGCTTTTTTAATGTTGTACGTGCATAAAAAGCACTAGTACAAATAGCTACTCTGCTGCTCTTCTGAAAACAGATTGGAAACCTGAAAATGCTGCAGTATATTCTCTCTCCAGAAGAGGGTACTCTGCAGCTGGATCTCATGTCCTGCACTGAAGAATTTTCCCCTACCCTGTTAGTGATTAACGTTGGAAAAGTAGTGAAAGCAATGTTTCAAAAAGACAAATAATGAACAGTTTCTTCTGGCAGTCTTCACACAGTATATCTTAGTGTAAAATGTACAGGGTGAATAATGACATCAATTGTCAAGCACTCAAAAGTGAATTCACAAAGTTTATTTTTAAGTTTCATTGCTGCAGACACTAGCTTAACTGAAGTTTGGTCAGATTCTGATAACTTTCTTTACTGTAGGTTCTCAGTCCTGTGACATGTAATACAAAAAACAAACTTGTATGGAGGGCCTTTCTGCGAGTCGGCTTCCTGCCTTGCTCAAACCTCGCTTGTTTACACACACATGGAGAGAGTCTGTATGCATATTTTCATGTGCATAGAACTTCTTGTCATAGGCTTTGTTTTACTTTGTGTTTTCACTTCAGCAATTCATAGCAGGGTTAAACCTGTTTTAAATGCCACCTGTATTTTGGATCTTTCTTCATGTCTGGACTTTTTAAAAAGGTATCTGAAGGCCAAACCTGCATTCTTCGTGTTCAAAAACAGCTGAGGTGAATGGCATTCACATACTTTTTTCTAAGTATGTCTATTGTTCCTGGTGTTTAAAGCAGCTTAGGGTAATATTTAGAGCATACTTCTAACAGACTTTGGAATTATTGCAGTTATTAAAGAACATAGTCTTGTGTTTTCGTTCTACTGCAATGGCAATATTTCTGTTTCAAATTAATTTGGAATTATATTCAAATTTGAACATTTTTCTCAGCAAGCGCTGTTATGAATTGCATTTCATGTTCATAATGTAAAGACTGTATAGCATAATTCATGTATTTGATACTGTATATGTTCACTTCTGATGTTGCCCCTTCATAGGAGGTTTTTTTTCCAGGTCTTGCTTTTCTTAGGCACTAAGTAACTTGAAACACCATTTACTTTAGTTAGAAGCTTTAAGTACTTGCTCTCAGAAAACAGACTTGAATTTCTCCTGGTTGCAAAAGAAAATGCTGCCATGTTTGAACACACTTGGAGAAAATCATAAAAACAGACTTGAGTTTCTCCTGGTTGCAAAAGAAAATGCTACCATGTTTGAACACACTTGGAGAAAATCATCTTACTGAGGCAATGCTCATAGCAAGAGTAACTGAAAAGTTTCTTCTGTATAACTTCAGCTGATTCAGATTGAGAACTTGTTCCCCTGTACGTTTTGCCTTGCTAGTGTTTACAACTACTCAGTAAGTACTTCTTTCCCTCAGTCATTTAATTACTCATTTTATGCTGGCTCACTTTCAGCTAAAAATGTCATTTGGGACAGTATCAGAAGCTCTGCTGAAATCAGGATAGTGAGTTTCTCTTCTATCCACTTTATCCTTCATGCCAGCTAGCTTGTCAGAAAGGAAATTGGAATGGCTTCACACAGTTTATTCTTAGCGCATTAGCTGACCTGTTTGGCTTTTTCAGTCACAATCACCACACCTGGAAGATATTAGAAAGGACTCCAAAGGTTCCCAGTCCCTCTGACCTATTTTGAAAGTACAATTTTTGCTCTTTGCTGGGGAGGAACCTCCCCATTCTCCACAGGTTCTGAGAACTGATAGTTAAAGGTTCTGGTTTCAGTTTGGCCAGTTCCTTCTGGTTCTGCATTATGTTGCACTGAAGCTCACAGCTTTTATAGTGTGTGTTATTGTATCTCACTGGTTTAAAAAAAAACTTAAAGCACTGTACCTTAGCTGTGAACAGCATAATGGTATCAATGTTATAGTACTTACTCTGTTTTACTTGGCAACAAATGCTTTTTGGTAGAGTACCACTGTATCCTGGTTAGTTAATCTATGGGTAAGAGTAGGACACTTAGGAATCTTTGCATGTGTTCTAACTGAAAATCCTTTTTTGTTCTGTATTTCATACCG